ACGTTTTCAATCAATGTATATTAGGGCAAAGTTGTCAGCAATTGAAATCAAATTTAAGAAAAATTTTTTTTCATGCTTTCAGGGGTTTTTTTATTTTATTTTCTTTTCTATTATTTTCTTCTTCTTTTTCTTTTAAATTCATTCTTTTCTCTTTTTTTTTCTTTCTAAAATGCACTAAAAATTTGATAACGAAAAAAAAAATGATAATGATAATAATAAAATGATAAAAAAATGGGAAAATTTGAGTGTGAGAAAAAAAAAAATTTTTTTTTTTCAAAATTAGATTTTAAAGATAAATTAATAATAATAATAAAATTAACCCCCCTTCTTCCCTTCTTTCCAACCTTCCCTCCCTCCCCTTTTACCGTCGCCAAAAAAAAAAACAGGTACGAATTATTTAAAAACAAAAAAAACTTTTGGCTTAAGTTTTTTTTTTATTAAAATTTTTTTTTAGTGAGGAAAATCGCAAACAAAATGGCGGACGAATGAAAAGTTTGACCGAGAATTTACATATGCATATACAATTTTTTTTTTCGTTTGTTTGTTTTTATCTATATTATATTTAAAAGGTTTTTTTTTTTTTTTGAAAACAGTGTTGCCAACGGATTTTCATTTCTATAAAATTGAAAGTGTTAAAATAAGTTTTTTTTTTTTTTTCGAAAAAAAAAAAAATGTTTTTTCGAGAAAACCCCAAAACGTAATCTTCACAAACCTCACTCTTTCTCACTCTCTCTTTCTCTCTCTCTCTCTCTATTTCTCTCTCGCCAAGAAAATAAATTCAAACTTTTTATGTATTTTGACTTTGTAAAATCCTGTTTTATGAGTTAATAATCATTTGTTTCCCTCTTATCTTGCATATTTTCAAAAGCTTGGAAAATTTAATCGGACCGAATATTTTCCTGCCAAAAATCCGGTCCAAAGATTTTATAAAAAAATTTTACATTACATATTTTAACATATTTATATATATATACACATATAAGTCCCTTTATACTTTAACCTTTTCACCTTTTTTGTTTTTTTTTCCCCTGCGAGAGAAAATTACAAAAAAAAATTCACTCGAATTATTACACAAGTTTGACAAAAGAAAATTTACGTGACGTCATCACGAGATAATTAAAGAACACAGAAAAAAGAATAAGAAGAAGAAGAAGAAGGAATTAAACGGAAATGATGTGAAGGATAAAAAAAGTTTTTTTTTTTCTTTTTAAATTGATGATAAATGTTTGTTTGTTTAAGTTTTAAATATTTTTAAAGTAAGTAAAAGAAGAAGAAGAAGCAGAAGAAAAAATACGCTTGAGAATTACATCGTTCCTTTCCATCAAAAAAAAAAAAA